CGCTCCGGCTTCGCTGGGGCTGTTTGGACTCCTGGGGTATGACCCCTGGTTGCCATGGTCGGCCCACTGGCCGGGTGGTTGCCAGAGTCCGGTGAGTGGTCGGTTGGGGGTGCGCGCTTGACCGTTGGCAGTGTGTGGGGGTGGTTGGGGGGCGTGGCTTTGCTGTGGCTGGGGGGCTGGCCTGTCGGCCTCGTGCAGTCCGGGCCGGGCCTTGGCTGTCTGCTCCTTTCCACCCCAGAATGAATGGGTCTACCTCCTGGGTCCGGATGTGGGCTGCCCTCTGTTGGGGGCAGGTGAATGTCCTGGACCTGGGGGTATTGAGTATGAATGAGGAGCATGATTGGTGTATAGCGTCCGTCTTGTGTGTCTTTGAATGAGTGGGTTTTTCATCATAAAACCATTAAATTAGCTGCTTTTGATATTTTAAATGCTATTGCAGTTGTACCATCAGCACAAATGTGAACCACAGGCCTTCCATGTTTTTCTCTGGGTCTGTGTGCTCAGTCCCACCCCCGTCCTTTCTGTCCAATGGGAGCAATGATTATCACCCTCATGGCTTTCTTTACGAATTATAGTTTGTTTGCAAAAAAAAAGCACAAATGCAAACAGCACTAAATGAAAAAAAAATAAAGTCCACCTTTGATCCAGACCAAACAAGAGGACCAAAGGACTTTCATTGTGTGAATAAACCCTTATATTGTTATCCTCTCGTCAAAAACGTGCCCAGAGTCTTGGTTTCATTCATGACGTTGCGTCGTCTTTTGCACAGTTCCGTTTAAAGGTTTAAGGCATCACACTGGATAACTCACCTGAAGTTTGATTCAACAATTGCCTCAGGAGATGTGTACAGTTAATACTTATAGGTTTATTCACTTTATTTACAAAAACAAAAGAGAAAAGAAAAATGGGAAGCTAAAACTTTCTTAGTCAACACAAATATGGATTCCAGATAAGACCACTGAGTCAGGGCTTCATGTCCATCAGGCTTATTAAGGCCTTGTGTACATGACCCCTCCATTTAGGTTTTATCTTCTGCCAGTAAGTCAGTGATCATATCAATCAGTTGATCTTATCTTATATCATGGCTGCAGAAGATTGTTGGTCAAGTGAAACCCTTAGGTTCTCCTGATGACCCTGTTCAACGTCAACTTTTTCAACTTTTTCCTCTGTGGGACCACCTATCCTTGCAGTTCTTAACAACAGCTAGTTTTCTGGTGTTGTTCTTGAGGTTTTTCAGTTTTTAAAAGTTAGCACAACACTTGAGTCTGCTCTATTAAGATTTTTTTAACAGTATTAGCTTCTGATTCTTGTGCCACATCTGATCCAACACAGTTGATTTAAAGCCTTTAACCTTTTGTGTAGAACAGTGGGCGAGCCTCAGGAGCATGGCACTAGAGGGGTTCAGGTCCTAAGTTGAACTTTCAGCCTGTGTGATTTTAAAACTTCTGCTGGCATCATGTAACCAAAGCATCTCTCTTGTGTCTAAGCTCAGGCGTTATGTGGTTCAGCTCACCTCCAGAACTCTTGTGTCTTTCTTCTGTCTGCAGGTTATTCTCATTGGAAAGGCCAGGTGTTGACAGCAGACGAGCTGCACGTTCTTTATGAAGGAATCAAACTGAACAATGTGCACCACTACGACTACGTTTTAACAGGTGGTTATCATCATGACAGGCTCAGAGATCATTTGAATGTTTGGATCATTTTTACATAACATTTGTCTGATTTAACATTTTTAATGTTTTTCATTGTTCTTTTTCCATCCATCCATTTTCTGTACACGCTTCTTCCTTTTCAGGGTCGCGTGGGTCACTGGTGCCCATATCCAGCAGTCACAGTGCGAGGGGCGGGGTATTCTTCCTTTTTTATCTCCTGCTGCCAAAAGACAAGAGAGGGCCTGTGTGTGAGGCTAACCCCTAATTTACACTAGATGCAGTTCTGCTCCGCTGCAGTCCAACCCCCGCAATAAATACGCAACCATTATAATCAATGAATTATATTTATTTATATAATCAATTATATTATAATCAATGAGAGCATCTACACCGGTTCTGCACAGCGGCAATCCATCAAAATCAGATCCGATCCTATTTTTGCTGGATGCCGGAGCAGCTCTGAGTCAATCTACAAAGATCATGTCACACCAACAAGAAAAGGAACAAGCACAACATCCGTATTTTCAATATAATTTACCAAAGGCAGACTGATTTTGTTGAAATCACAGCTATATTATTAAAGGCGGCCTATTATGGGGGTCTTAGTACAAGTTAGGATCCATCTGTGGGCTATACAAAACGTTCATTTGATTTATTTCACAAAAAGAATCTCAAATAATGAAATTTCACCTTTTCAGTTCTTCCTGTTCTTCAGCTCTCTCCAGATCGTGCTGAATGCAGAAGTTGCTATGAAACCCCCCTCCCATTTGTTTACGTTGGCTCCACCCCCCGACATGGTAGAAGTTTCCAAAGTGAAATTATTTTCACAAACTACAGCTTTCTTTGGCAATATTGTTAGAACATTGTCATCAAAGATAAAAATAAAATGAATCCAGGCATCTCTGTTCTCCATGGCTGCTGTAAAAACAGAAAAACTATCGTCTATTGAGGAAGTGGGCGGAGCTTCACCTCGGGTTGCCTCGTGAGGAGCAGGACTCTGGTTTAGGTTGCTAGGTGACTGTTATTGTGAYGTCAGAATAACGTGCTTTGAGAAATACCATGTTTCCAGATACTTAAAAATACATGTAATTACAGCTAAAAAAACATCTGGGTGCATTTTTTTGGTGTTTGGACTGCTTCTCTAAGCAGTAGAGACCCAACAGTAAGTTTAAAAACATGAAAAAAGTGAGTTTTGCATAATAGGTGCCCTTTAAATATGTGGGTGTATTTGTATACAATGCTGTGAAAATGTATTGTTCTTTTTGGGAAGCAGATGGTAACATGTAGTGTGCAGCATATGCAGACAAACGTGATACACATGGATTTTATTACCTCCGCCAAGGAGGTAATGTTTTCGGTCGCGTATGTCTGTCTGTCTGTCGTTCTGTCTTTGGACAACATTACTCAAAACCTTGTGGACAGATTGTCATGACATTTACAACACATGTGGTTACTGGCACAAGTAACACACCATTAAATTTTGGTGATGTTCCGGATCACGATGTGGATACAGGATTTTGTTTTTCTTTTAATCCTCTCAGATCGGCAAAGCTGTGATGCTTTCACAGGGCTTCTGTAAAAAACTGTGACAGCTTTCAGTGTTTGGACTTCAAACTTTATAAAAGTAATGTTAAAACCAGATGTAATGATGAATAATTCTTGCCGTAATGTGCGAATTTTTACGCATTTGATGTGCATTTACAGAACGTTTTGTTACCAGGAAGTGCGTGACTGCAACATGAAACCTATTTTTCCCATTTCCTCAAACACACCACATTGTCGGTTGGCGTGTATACAGATCGATGAAGATTGAGGAAGAGGAGTGACGCGGTGGACTTCAGACTCAGAGGTTGTTTGTTTGTTTGTTCATTTTTATTATTATTTAAATGAGGCCAGATCAAGTCGAGAGCTCTTTGTGCGCCCCTCTATCCACCTCTCGTCAAACTTTGAGGAAAAAAGAATGTGCAGAGCGTGGTTGTGACCGCTGTGTGTGGTCCTCACAAAGATAGGAAGACACTTGTGTGTCTGTGTGATTAGACGTGTGCTGAAAGCTCTGCTTTTTTGAATCACGTAGCACCGATGTTAAAGCTTTCAACAATAACGTCGGGTGATGAGTCTGACTTTTTTTTTCACATTGGACTCCACCAGAAGAAACCCCGTGCATACTGCCTGCTTAAATGTTCACTACGTCAGAACTTATTCACCAAATGTGTTTCCATCTCTGCTTTTACTGCATTAACTCTTACAGGATGGGGGAAAATTGGACTTGGCGGAGGTTTGCACTCTCCCAGTGCTTCTGGTTTTGAAATCAGAAGTTTCAAAAAGACAACAGCGATACAGTTTCAACTGTATTTGGAGTCTGTCTTCCACAGAAATAAGTATTTTGCTCTGACTTCCACATTCATCGTTGGATTTATCATGCAATCTCACATTTCCTGCACACTCTTCTTGGACGTCCTCTGTGCTTTGCACCAGGGTGGAGTGAACGCTGTATAGATTGGGATGCAAATGAACGGAGCGAACTGCACTCCTCAGCCGAGCAGAACCATATCTAGTGTAAATTAGGGGTAACACAGTCTGTTACCAAAATATTTCATAAAGCACTTAATCAATTTGAATAAAACTTGCAGAAATTAATAAGTGAATCTACACTTTAATAAGTTTTGCAGACAATGTAAATTCAAGATGGCTGCCACAGCTTGTGTTTCGAACAGTGGGCGAGCCTCATGAGTACGGCACTAGAGCGGTTCAGGTCCTAACACACACAGAAAGGACTATAACTCAAATCTGTTGTAGGGAAAGCAGTCATAACATATTTCAAGCCAAAACACACCAAACGATTATTATTTTCAAGGTTTAACCAAAATGTCTGTTACTATGAGCCAATCAGCACAAGATAGAGGAGTGTGTCCCACAGCCAATCAACTGACAGTCTTCATCACTCCAGTTGGTTTGATTAGATGAGGAGGAGTCACAGAGTGAAAATGAATCAAACGATCAGTAGCCATGACATTAGGGGTGTAAGAAAATATCGATACACTGAAATATCGCGATATTTCATTTCCTGATACTGTATCGATATTCTAAAGCCCTGTATCGATTTTTTTATTAAGGTTTAAAATGTCAACTTTCCTGCCAGCCGTTCATTTTTATGTTGTAGTTCAGCCTCTGACCACTAGTTGGCAGCAGTGAGCCAGACATTTGGCTCCTCTACCTCTTGAGGTAGAGGCTATTGTTAAGTGTTGGGTGACCATTTTGTAAATTAATATTAAAAACTAAAAGCTGCAAAAAATATATTTTCAAACTATTTATAGTATTCCGTGGTCAAGGTCAAAGGCAGGTGGAACGTTTATTCCACCCAGGGTGACCACTACATTGGCAAATTTAGTCTGATGATTGAAAACATGGATGAAATAAGAAATATGAAACAAATAAAATAAAACACATACAAAGCAAAACACAGCTAAATGTATCATAAGAGGTTTTTATTTAATAGAATTTTTGGACAAAAAATATCGCAAAATATCACCTTGCTTACAGTATCGCAATATATCAGGATATATCGTATCGTGACCCCTCTGTCATGATATGTATCGTATTGCCAAATACTTGCAAATACACAGCCCTACATGACATGTTTACATCTTTTAATAACATACATGAGATGATCTGTCACCAGGTTCTTCTTCCAACAAACTTTCTTGAATCTGAATGAACAATTGTCCAAACAAATCTGAGGGCGAGTCCACAAACTGTAGATCATCTCAGGTTTATTTCCTTCTCCAGAGTGAAAATACACTCATCACCCTTACACGTTGATTGAAAATCACTCTATTCCCTTGTCTGTAACCAATAAACCCATTCTCTTCCTGCCTCCTCAGTGTTGGGTAATCTGTAGCCCCTCCCACCAGGTATAACATTCCTTCACTCTGTCCAATAAACACAATCTTTACATTTCTTTTCAGTACAATACAATGTGTTTCTATACAATTTAAACAAACTTTCACTCTGTTAATTTATACAACTTTTAAATAAACCACTATTTGTGATGAAATTTAAGTAATGTTTTGATGACGTTTTAGTTTAGACTCAATGAATTTTAAATGTTTAGTTAATATTATATGTTGTGCTGTGTTCAGGGTATACCAGAGATACGTCCTTCTTGGAGATGGTGGTGGACATTGTTCAGGAGCTAAAGAGAGCCAATCCTAACCTGGTTTATGGTGAGCAGCTGCTTAATATGTTTAATTAGTCACAGGTTTGGTGCAGAGGAGATCTGAAAGGTACTCTCTATCCCTCATGTCAGAAATCAATGATTCATTATGTTCACCATTTATAAACTCTGCTTTTAGACTGATTGTTTTGATACAAGCATTTCACACTTATTGGATTAAAATAGTTTTTGTTCATGACAGCAGATTTTCAGTAAATTAAAAGAGAAATAAAAAATGGACCTGTTTCATTACAGGAAGTCAAAACATACATTTTGATCTCCAACCATGTCATGCTAAACTATTCACGCCTCTTCAACTTTCTCACATTTGAGACATTACAGTCCGACTTTAAAGTTTCAACTGGTTTTATGTGACAGACTAACACAAAGTAGAACATAATTTATAAAAATAAAAGGATGGTTTGGTGTGTGTTTGTTATCAGCCTTCATGGTCAGTACTTTGTAGAAACACTTTTTGCTGTAAATCTCTTGGTATCTGTCTCTACCAGCTTGTCACTTGCTCATATCGATGGCAGACTTGAAATAAAACCGTATCGTGACAGACTTTGTGATACAGAAACACTGCACTGTCATCCAAACAAATAGGATAAAGCTGCTGATTTACGTATAACTTCAGTGGATTTAGGTTTGGCCTTTGGCTTTTCTGTTAACTCTTTCTCTAATCCTGTCTGGTGTTCATGGACAGGACCTGAGGGTGCAGTCATGATGATCAGGGATGGTTTGGTCAGCTTGGTCTTGTCTCTACTTTTTGGGGATGATGTAGTTTATAGTGTCTTTAGACCATGACCTTCAGGGTAGAGCTGGGCGATATGATCAAAAATTTATATCACGGTATTTTCAACATTTTCACCGGTTTCACGGTATTTGACGGTATTTTTCTTTTCATCACAGCTCAGCTGATAATAAAATGTACAAACCCTGCTTATTGACTTTTTTCTTTTATTGTACCTCTGTCTGTTTCCCTCCTCTGTGTCTGTTCTCTGATTGGTTGGAGACAGTAGTCATGCATTTTGGTCCAGTCGTGAAGGAGGAGGGTTAAGAAAAGATTATGATCGGGTTTATTGTTTTATGTTATTTATTAAAGCTTATCAGCACGACTCACCTTGCACATTCAGCGACGGCGAAAACGGGATGTTTTTTTAAACGTCAGTCAATATAAGC